GGGTGCATCCATCATGAAGTTCTGAAACTTTTAATCTATAGAATTAAAAACCTTTAAAATCAGAGAATTAAGTAATAGATTAATAAATAGTTAATTTATCTATTTTTTTTGTTTATTTTTGTCTTCATAGTCTGGTGAAAGCCATAATGAGTGGCGGTGGCGTTGGGGAGACACAAGAGGCGATACCCCAGGTGACTGATGGGATAGATATCTGTACTTGGACTGTAACACGAGAAAAAGAAACTGTCAGCTATTCTGTGTGGGATTTTGCTGGGCAAACTGTCTACTACAATACCCATCAGGTGGGTGCAAAGATTGAGAATTTTGAAAAATATGATTAAATATAAGATTTCATGAAAAGAAATTAAAAAACAGCAGAAAAGTACAATTTTAAAATTGAAAATTTATAAATGTTGCCCCAGTATATCAGTTTTTCTCCAAATGAGTTTTTTATTATCTATTTTTCATATCTGTTTGTTTGTTTTTTTGTTTGTTTGTTTGTTTGTTTTTTTAATAATTTATTTATTATATTAATATTATTCCCTTCTTCCAGTTCTTTCTCTCAGACCGAGCAGTCTACCTTCTCCTGTGGAACATCCGCCAAGGTCACGAGCATGCTGGTCTGGACTTCTGGCTCAACTCCATAGCCGTCCATGCCCCCAAGGCCCCCATACTGGTGGTAGGCACTCATCTGGACCAGGTGTCCAAGGTGGAGATCCCTGTGGAAGAAATGCAGCAGAAATACAGTCAGATTAAAGGATTCCATTTTGTCAGCTCTCACAGTGGACAGGTGGGTACTGGATTGTGGTAGGTGTGACAGTGTAAGTTTTAATACATTGTGTTGAGTGAGACACATTGTGTTGAGTGAGACACATTGGACTGTATTTTATAAGATATGTCATACAGGGCACAGCAATTTGTAAAGTAAGGGTATACAGCAAAATACAGCCAAATAAAAAGGGTTAAGCTTTTTATATCTGCCTCTATGAACAGGTGGTTAGAATAATGTATTAGGTGAAACATCACTAGGGTGAGATGCATGTGTTAGTTGAGATCCACGATATTATGCAAGACCATTGTTGTGGGTGAAATTGTTCTGGAAATTGAACCTTGTGTAAAGGTTGATAAATTGGCTAGGAAGGTTATGTATTAGGTAAGCTTATTTATTTATTTTGTTCATTATTTACATAATATTTCTCTATGTTTGTTTGTTTTCCAAACTTTCTTTTTTTATTTTTACTTTAATTTTCATATAATTATATTGCAGGGCATAAAGGACCTTCAGGAGATGTTGCTTGATGTTACTTTAGAGCAGCCCTACATAGGAGAACAGATCCCTCAAGTATGGCTCAACCTGGAGAAGGAGATTATCAAGTGAGTACATTTTTTATGTCATGTATTGTGTTGTGGTGTGTATGAATACATTTTGTTGTCCTTTTACAAGAATTTTGCTTCTAACTGTCAGTTGACAATGCAAAGTTGTGCACTGTCAATGTATTATCTCAATAAAGCAAAAAATATATACATACTTGTATATGCATATCAAATGACATATTTAATGGATATTTTAGAGAAGTGCAGGTTACAGTATCTGCTCTTATATTCTTAAAAATGTATAGTGCATAACTAGATTAATTCTATATAACTTATTACACTGTTTACCCTCCCTGTTAACCTGTTAACCTGTTTGTTTCAGGTTGCGAACTACAGAAAGTGTTGTCTCCTATGTTTCCCTAGAAGATTTAGCATTGACCAAATCAGGAATATATGATAAGTCTGAGGTAAATATTATGATATCACACAAAGTACACTTTGAGAGCCTGAAAATTACAGTAGCCTGGCTATTATGTATTACATGCCCCCTGGTGTTGAGTAGAATACAGAAAGGCAAGGGATCATATAAATACATTGGAAAAAAGAAGAGGCATGTTATTCTGTTAATCTGATTGCATTCAGCAAGAGTTCCTGTGGAGTTGGATCGATTTATGTAGAACAAATTTCATTGGGAATGGGGCCTTATGTGCAAGTATACCATATGATGTGGGAATGTCCAAACTGTTCCTGTTCACTTTTCTTTCACTTTCACTTTCCTTTCACTTTCACTTTCCAGGTCTCTCAAGCTGTGCAGTTCCTCCATGAGTTAGGAAGCCTGCAACATTTTGACAACAATTTCCTCAAGTCACATGTGGTCATCAACCCCCAGTGGATTGTGGACGTGATGTCCTGTGTGGTGTCTGTCAATGACTCACACATTAAGGTGGGTAATGTGGAACTGTTTTCATGAATTTTTCTGACCAGCCTAAAATGGTGTGCCAGAAACTTTTTAGTGTACTGGCCCACTAGAACCTTAGATAGGATAAGACTTTGAGTGGGGTTTTATGTTTAAAACTTGATACATTTGAAATGTTAACCATTAATTTGAAAACTTGTGAAGAAAATGTAAATAATGTCACACTATTATTTGTGCATAATATATCATTTTGTTTACATATGGATTGCATGGCTCAGTGGCACATGCATGGAAAAATTGCCTCATTATTTTACCGTCAAAATTTTTATCCCTGAAACATTGATTTTTCTATATTAGGATGGCTACTTCAACCACACAGACATTCCCAAAGTTTGGGAGGATTATCCCGCAGATCTCCACTGGTGGCTTCTTCGTCTCACAGAGGAGTATGATCTGACTTTCCAACTCCCAGACAAACCAGTCAACCTGGTGCCATGCCTTCTCCCTGAGAGACAGCCTCCATTTGATTGGCCAGAACTTGACAGAGAAAATGGAGAAAGAGAGGCAAAGATGATTTACAAGTTTGATTACCTACCTGCTGGGTTGTTTAACCGAGCACAGGTGAGAGAGACAGATGTTGAGATTTTTTTACCTGCCATTGGATGTTTTTGGACCTAAGCTAGAATACACTAGTTTTCAAATTGATTAGTTATTAATAATTAAATGTGTTATGTGAACAAAAATATTTGGCAACATGACTTTGTAAAATTTGATTTAATTTCAGCATGGGTCCACTGTAACTTTATTCAACTACATTTCTGATATTCTTGTAGGTACGACTGTATGAGTTCTCTGATAGCTCTGTGATCTGGAAGAGGGGCTCTAGACTGAAGAAGAATGACCACATTGCTCTCCTCACTCAGTTTAGGTAAATACCAGATATTGGACAATACCATTATTTCAAAAAGGCATTACTATATTGTGGTTAAACAGAAAATATTTCAATGATTTAGACGTGATGGTTTATAAGATACTTTAGTTCTTATGTTAATGTGGCAATGTTGCAAAAATTTTTGAGTGAATTAAGCTGTACATGCATGAAGGGAAAAATCGCCAAAAATTTTCAAAGATAGTTCGTAGTTCTTAATTTGCATACAGTGTTATAATAGATTCATGGTTGTTTCTCAAATTATTTTTCACATTTCATTTCTTGTCTAGGTCTTTTAACTTTATTTATTTATTTATTTATTTATTTATTTATTTATTTATTTATTTATTTATTTATTTATTTATTTATGTTTTCAGAGACTCTGAGCTGCATGTGAAAGTCCAGGGGACCACTCCAGAAAATGTCCTCTTCCTGGTCCATGAGGTGTTTGAGGGGTTGATCACAGAGTCTTTCCAGGGGGTGGTGTACGACTACCTCATGCCCTGTCCAGACTGTTCCAAGGCTGTAAGTATATAAACTTGGTCTGAGGGGTCATCCATTTTCAGGGGCGGATCCAGAGCTTTTTCTGACAGTCTTCCAAATTATCTTTGTTGGTCCATCCTCCATTTTTCACCATCTTCCGACAGAAAAAATTGAAACCCGTCAATGTTAACTTGAAAATCTGACTGTCTTCCGGAAGACTCAGAAGACGGCCTAAATCCACCCGATTTTTATCAGGTAAGTTTTTCACAAATTGGACAAACCTACTAATAGTATGCTGGGGGAGTGGGTTCATGTTCTCTGTATGCTTTTGGAAAAAAGATGGGGAAAGTGCCTAGTGAGGACAAATATAACTGAATCTTTTGGCTTGAATTACATGTACGCAAAAAATTCTGGCTGGCTCTTTATCCCAAGGAGTAAACTTTTTCCAGACCCTCCCCCCCAACCCCCTGTTCAGAAAAATAGTGTATGATGATAATATTTCAGTTAAATTAATTATTATAAAAGAATTAATGATCTATTTTCAATCTTCCAGCATGCCCGTGACCCTCACATGTTTTCAGCCTCCTCCATCAGAAGAGCTACACAACTTAAGGCACCTTTCCTGCAGTGTACCAAGTATTTCCATGTCATACCTCTGACAGATCTACATAGTAAGTTTTATTTTGCAGTTAAGATGTAGCCATGTTTTTATTATAAATAATAATAATAATAATAATAATAATAATAATAATAATAATAATAATAATAATAAAAGAAATTATAATAATAATAATAATAATGTGTCTTTACATGAACGCGTAGATAAAAAAGATCTACAGTTGATTGAGTATTTGAATGACTGATTGTTTTAAATAATTCATCATTCCTTAATTTGTTTATTCACTTATTCTTTTATTTGCAAGTTGCTATGAAAATATTATCAATTTATTTCAGGTATGATGCCCCCAGAGAGCAGCACAGACTATGACCTGCAGCTTGTGCAGACTGTGAGAGGATTGACTGACCTGAGGAAAGACATGTCAGCAGGTAGAAATGTGCTGTTGTCTCAACCAGCCTGGCACAACTAACACATTCACATCCTTGTACAACAATTTCAACAGTTTTAATTAGTGTTTGCCCTAATAAGTAAGGGCATATGGTAAAAGCATTTTTATTTTCTCAGCAGGTGTTTTATTTAAATAGAACACCCATAACTATACAATGTCATGTATTTTTCACAGTTGGAATGTTAAATTGTTGAGTTTGTTTTCAGATATCTTTATCTCATACTGTGCAAAAGATGTTCCAAAGAAAAGCGAGAAACGTGTGGCCCCAGTGGATGTCTGCAGAGACTTGGAAGAGGCAGGATATAGATGGTGGGTTAAGATAATTTGCTTTTCCTTTTAAATTTCATGATCATTTTGATTTTAAGATTATTATTGAAATTCTGTTTCATGTTTTGGTATTAAGATCATTAAAAATTCCAATAGGTATTAAAAACTTTCAGTCACATGGTTTGCTAACTCTGTTTACCAGTCCATTTGTTCCACAAATAGTGTTTTTTTTTTCAATCCCCAAAATAACAGTCATTGTTCAATGACCATTTGCATGGTTTCCAGTTGGATGGCACAGTGATTGGTACCTGTATAGACCAGTTGAGAGCTAACCACTTTATTTTTTCTCTTTTTTTCTTTAGCTGGTTCCAGGAGGACCCCAGTTCCCAGAGCCTCGAGGTTACGGCCATTGCTCTACGAGATGCCCGGGTGTTCCTGGCCTGTATATCTGACAACTATATTGAAGATCAAGACTGCTGTGCAATGTTCAAGTATGCCTGCACTACACTCAGGAAGAGCATTGTGCTGGTTGTGCTAGGGGATAGCATGAACTGGCAGACCAGTCAGATTGGATTATTGGTTGCAGGAGAGGTAGGTTATGGGAGTGTGTTAGGTGTGACTGTTGAAATGTGTGAGGTGTGACAGTGCAAATTGTGTCAGAATGTTAAGTGTAACATTGAAAAAAATATCAGCTGTCTGTTCATTAGTGTTAAATAAGTATACATGTAAAATTTATGCATTGCACAACACATTACTGGCAGTACGAAGCAGTATTAGACTATGTATTATTTTTCAATAACTTGATGCAGAAAACCATTAGTGTTTTTTACACTGTCAGAATGACAAATTTTACAAATTTTAGTATTTTGTACTTTGATAACTTTTTTGTCCCTTTTACTATATTTTGACTCTGTATCCCAAATGCATTTAAATGAACTCTCAATCTTTTGTTGTTCTAGGTTTATGTGAATATGCAGCAGAAGGACAAGTACACATCCAAGCTGGAAGAACTGGCAAAGAAACTGGATATGAACACACTTTTAAAGAAAGACGAAGCCATTGATTACCCACCAGTGTTCATCAGCTATGCTTGGGCCAACTCTGCTCGTGCTGTTGAGTTAGGGACCCCAGAGAAAGAGGGCGCTGCAGGCTTTGGTGATCCAAGAGACTACAAAGACTTCCTGGAGAAGAATGGGATCAAGTGCTGGCTTGATGTTGAACAAGTTGGAGCTGTAAGTGTTATTGCAGTTATTCAGCTTACAAACTGTCGCAAATTGCTCTGTCACACCTAACACACTGGAACATTCTGTACTGTCACATCTAACACACTGACTTTCTGAACTATTTGTCATTCTTTTATTAAGCTAATCTTTTAATTTATTCATTCATATTATTAGGTAAGATGATGAATCACACATTTATAACATATATATAAGTTATAACTCAAAGAACACTCATTTTTCACCTTCAGAATGGTCTGTTTGAAGACATAGCTGTGGGTCTCCAGAATGCCAAACTGGTGGTGGCCTGTATATCTGACCAGTATGCTGAGTCCACCAACTGTAATATGGAGTTCCGCTTTGCCAAGACTGCCCTGAACCTGCCCATTATAGTGGTGACGGTGGGCAGGGGTCAGATGTGGAGGAAGTCTGAGGTGAGTGTTGTCCTGCTTGTGTTCTCATATCTGATAGGTTTCTGTATGACATCCATTGGTTGAAGTTTTCAGGATTGTGTCTGATTTTAGGATTTTGAGTCTTCATTTTGATGTTTTTTTTTTTTCTTTTCCATATGGTTTAAACACATTTGGAAATTGGAAGCTACGTTTTCAGGATTTTCAGTTTTCACGACTTTCAACTATGATTATTTGTGACACCTTATCCACCATATTAGAATCAACGTAGTGCATTGTTACAACTATTATCATCCTTTTTTATAAATATTTTCATACTTTTTAACACTTTTTTTTTTGTTCTAAACATCACACATGGCTATTTTTCATTTTAAGGTTGGAATGCCAGTGGCAACATTTCTTCCTACTTTTTTTATCTGACAACTGAAAACCATATCAGACTCTGTAACATAGCATTTACATGAATTACAGCAATTATCCCACACGATAAACTCATTTAACACACTGTTGTTCTTTACATAACACTTACAGGCCGTAAGGCCAGGAACCCATTTCTTCCTACTTTTATTGTTTTACAACCAAAAATCATGACAGTAACCTGTACTTCACTGTGCTCATGTACTTAACAGGTGGGTATGCTGTCCATTAACTACCCAGTGGTCAGCCATGATGATACTGACCAGCTACTGAAGCTGGTCAAGGAAAATTTACCAAGTGAGGTACAGCAACCAGTCTCCAACGAGACCAAGGAGAAGAAGAAGGAGAAAGAACAGGCCAACCAACAACAGAAGAATACATCCTTCCAGGTAGAAAAGATGCACTTTGCCTGTGATTTCTTTAGCCGAATGTCTGCAGTTTTGCAGAGAAAGTCATTACGTGTCACAAATTAATGCTGAAATACCAATTTAAGCTGTAATCGTCTACATTTCTGAATCAGTTCCCATGTGTCTCTTTTTCTTTCATAGGAACTGTATGAACTTGCCCAGAGAAAGTTCTTACGTCAGGTTGCCAAACTTGCTGACTCATTCAACATGGAGGCATACCCACGGCTGGTGGTCATAGACCATATGGCCACTGAGGAGACAGAAGAGGGTAAAATAGTTGAACAAGAATAGGAACATTGTCTTTACACAAAGATTTTAAGATTATTACAGCTCAATGACTTGTCTGGCAGCTGGTGCTGCTCAAAAATTATGTGAATACGAGTGCCAAATGTTATTCAATTTAACCAAAAATATGTAAGTTTTCTTTCCCTTTTGAATTTTGATTCTCTGTTTTTGAACAGGAGAAAAAGAATCTGAGAAGGAAAACAGCAAAGATGCAGAAAAAGATGAGGAGAAAGAAAAAGATGAAGAAAGGAAACTTTCCACACCCCACACCTTCAGTAAAATAAAAAAAGAGCACCCACATGGACAAAAGCATTGCTATCGGGTGCTGTGTGAACATGAACAGGTATGTCAATTCATACAGGTGCTTTGATGTTACTGTGTTGGTTCTGAAACATCTCACTAGAAGAAGTTTAGTTGATTCAGCATTTAGTTGATTTGTAGTAAGAGTAGGTTTGGGTGGGCTTTAGTGTTATATCCCCAGCATAATATGAATTTTGCTATATGTTGAGACATTTGGAAATTAAAGCAAAGTAAAAAAAAAACTGAGTTTCCAAGAAATCGCAAAATTTCTTTATTTAAAATACATAGGGGAGTCCAAATATGAAGTGTTTTACTATTTTATTTGATAAATTAGAGAAATTGAAACAATTTAGTACAAATTGTATGCAAGGAATGGCCTTTTGAGAGAGAAGTGAAAACCAGCATGTACTCCATGAATTTGATTTTTTTCTGTGAAGGCCTGGCATACTACTGAAGACACCTTATATACCCTAATATGATTGATACCTTAATTTACCTGAATGTACAAAGTGCAGGATTTGTCATCATAAATAATTAGTTCAGTTGAGATGCTGGCACATTGTATTAATGGTGATTTGGTAGGTGTTCTGTATGATACCCTTTTGCACATATTGATTATCCACTCTTTCACTCAGTTTAATTGTTACAGTAGGCTTTCCATATCACAAATGATATTTGCCATATGGTACTGTCATGCAAAATGTACAGTGTATATTATCCATAATTTGAATTGACTTTTTGATTTCAGGGCTGGCATATTGCTGGTGATCCCATACCTGCTCCAAACATGAATGATACATTCCTGCACAAGTTGATTCCGTATCTGGCCCGCATCATGGCGATTGTGAAGCACAGCAAGCACATTACGCTGAACTGCATCAGTGGAGAGGAGGGAGAACAGTTCCTCAAATGGCTGGAAGAGGTAGGATGGAAAGCAGTGCACAGGCCTGTAACCGGGGGTGGGGGGGGGGGGGGGAACAAACTGCCCTTTTTTGCCTGAAAAGGTCCATTCTGGGTAAATTTTTATCTAAGCACACAGAGATCTCATGGTAAAAGGTCCACTTTTTCTGAAAAAAGACCCCCACCTCCCCCTTGAAATTCCTGGCTACGGGCCTATGATGCATTCAAGCACACGGTTGATGATTACAAACTGTAAACCAAGAAGTTTGAAAAAGACTGAATATGTTACATGTACTTTAAGATCATTTCTGGTCAAGTTTTAATTGGTAACCTTGTAAATGCAAACTCTGCTGACCTTTGAACTTCAAAAGTTAAAGAAGCTTTACCGGCACTTGTTACCAATTCCAAACATACATATACAAATAAAAATTAAGACATTTTACCCAAGTTATCTCTGAATTAAATTGTGCAAGATGCCTTTTTGTAGTAAAAAGATGTTTGGTATTTCAGACACCTAGAAATGCTGTATCAGAGTGGCAGGACGTCTACAGAGATCTCCTCCAGGAAGTATTGAAAGCTGATAAAGACAGCACAATGGCAGGTCTGGCAAGGTGAGAGAATTCCCCCTAAGTCTTACAATCTCATGTTTTGTCCACTAGATGGTGCTTGGTGTAGTGTGTGGCAAGATGTTCAGAATTTTTCACGAGCAAGATAAGCGTAGTCATCATTAAAGTTAAGTTATATTTATGTCTTGTCATTACTCCATGTAATATAGATTACATCTTTTTTTCTAGATACTTTCTACATTAGCATTTTAATTAGATTACACCCTCAGACTTCATATTTTTAATTTTCCAGATGTCACCTGCCTAGTGGCAAAGTGGCCTGGCTGTGTGAAGGGCACCGTTCTCAAGGTCGCATCACTGTCCTTAGCTCCACTGGCAGCTCAGCTGTGTCAGCGCCAGATGCCGGGAAAGAGAACTTTATGTTGAAAGCATTAATGGCTCCTGACAACCAGCTGACACTTAAGTACAAGGCACACAATGAGACACAGATGGCAGGTGAGCTTTGCTTGAAGTGCATTGTGGCAGAATTGTGTTATTCTGTAATGTGAGTTGTCATTGTGTTAGTTGTGACGTGGTTGAGACAAGATTGTGTGCTATTTATGTTGTGTTAGGTGTGACCGTTAGCAATTAAATATGCTTAGGGTTCTTGTATTTTGTTACCTGTGATAAGATTGTGATTACAGGTTCATTTTTTATTTTTTAACTATGAATAGTTTCTCTAAAACATGACTATTTCATTTTTTAAAGAAGTTATAGATTTTAAGTAGGGTAATTTGGTAAAAATACTGACAAAATTGACCTTTTTGTCAGTAATAAAGATATATTGCAAGTTTTGATGTATTCAAATCAAAAATCAGTGTCGTAGTTATCACATCACTTTCATTTCAGCTGCGATGAAAGACAAAAAGAAGGCTGAGACAACACAAAAACCTAAGTCAGGAAAAACAGCTCGCCCCTCAGAGACAGCACCTCCCAGTGTCAACCCATTGGTGGCAGCTACAGCGAATGCCATGACACTTGACGCTGTGCAGAGGACAGCAGCAACAGCCAACAACAGCAGTAGAACTAAGGCCAGATTCAAGGCTGCGGGCATTGCGGCTGCAGTAGCTGGTCAGAAGAGAAACTCCAGCCAAACTTGCGTTATTTTATAGAGAAAGTGTGGTTTGTAGTGACAGTTTGTTGCAATGATGAAACTAAAGTTTGGATGCTTACATGTTTGTCTTTGGCAGGCCATGCAGAGATCTATTCAAGGATTAATTTTCTGTTTCAGAGAGTCGTGCTGTTCACTGTTTTCAGGCAGTCGTGCATTTTGTTGCAATTCATAATTTTATGTTTTACAGCATTTCCAAACAAAATGTTGGTTGCAACCCGGAATTTACAACAGCTGGGCATGGACTTTGTATATTTTTGTGCACATCTGCAGTAGATCCAGTTAGATATGTATTCCTGGATATACATATTTAAATTAGTCTATATCGAAGGAGATTTTAAACTGATTCAGAGATATTTTTCGTACATATGAGGCTTAGATATGTTCAAATGCTACAGTTATTGGACAATTTGTATGAATGGTCAATATTTTTTGATTAAAAGATTTTTCTTAACTTTGGGAGCTTTTCATATATTACATACTCTTCATCAACAGGTGTGAATAAACATTCCGTCCATTATAGAACACAGGTCTGTTCTCTGTGATACTGTGCATTTTTGCATTCAGATTATCTTTTATATTATAGCATGAATTATAGATGATTCCCACTTTTTATATGTACTTTGCTTTTTAGAAGTGATTTTGTATTTTGTCATCATATTACTATGTATTTCTCCTGTTTACAAATATTATAGATTTCAGAAATTTCTGTGATATTTTGTCTGCATTGATTTGATAACAATCAAAAGTCATTGAATACTCACTTTGCATTTGTTATTATAGATTTTTGTCTTTTGTGGTAGACTACATATAATTAAAGGAGAACACTTACTAATACTTGGTTTAGATTAGTTTCGTGTGTCTAAACAATACTTCTGAATTATTAATAAAACTGATTTTAACATGAGGATGTGGAATTTGATGATAAATATGTGCCATGTTGTATGTGTGCATAGCTGTATGAGATTTTGCGTTCAGCTATACAGTAACAGGTAGTATTTCTATTGTGATGCTAATTATTTTATTAAAGAGGAAAGCTAAGATGGGTGTTTAGACTCAGAAGATGCTGTGATGAAGGTAGTGCACAGGGTACAACTTGTTTCAGCTCCCTGGAGCTTTATTGTATATAATCTCTGTTTACATCAAGGTTGACTTTAAACCATAAATTGACTAAACTGCATCAAATCGTGCCATCATAAGATCAGGTTACATACAGTACAAACCGTTAGGGACTGCATTTTTTTAAAATGCTTTATTGAGTGGTATAATTGTCTTTTCACGTCAATAAATCTATTTCTTTTCTACACTCGTCTTTTATTGTGTTAAATTTGATACGTGCTGATATCCTAATGGACTGGGTATCCTTAGTGGGAGAGTGCTCCATTATCAGTGTGGGAGGCTGTGGGTTTGCTACTTAAGAAAGGTCACACCAGGCTGCTTGAAAGAGTTGATTTCGGATAGATAAAAGAAAGAAAGACGCCTTGGAGGGGTGCTATCATTATCACATTATTGGGTAATGTTGCACTGGCACAAGTAAATGCACTGTCTGCTTATGCCATATTCCATCAGCTTGCCACGTCTGAACACAATGCCAGAAGGCAGTGGGAACTGGGCTTTTCATCCCTTACTTCAACGTTAAAACGCGGCTTGCTTTGTTAGGAAATTATCGCAACATAATGATGACCTTTATTCATGTATCGTAATTATTTAACACACCACATTTGCATAAAATTAATCCAAGTCCAGGAAAAAAGTTTAGCAGTTTATTTAAGTAAAAATAATAATAAACGTATATAGCGCTGTTTTTTATCACTTAATATTAATTTTTTTATTTTAATATGATTGTCGCTGCAGAATTTATTGGTAAGGTTCAAATTTTCTTTTTTACTGATACTTTAATATTATTCATGCACCGCCTTTGTTCCGTAAACGTAGATAATACCGTTCCATCCATTTAGACCCAAAGTAAACTAAAACATTGCCATATTTTGATCATAAACGGTCGCATTCTGGTTACGAGTTGTTTAGGTAAAGATAGATACAGTTATTCTTCTCTTTTAAATGTCTTTTAAACATGTCTTTGCTAGAGCGTTTCTAAAGCTCAATTCAACAGTGCATTATCAGTAAGGCCTCATTCCCACTGACACCACCAGTCTACGTGGATCGATCTTACTTCACAGGAAATCTCGCCAAATGCAATCAATTTAGCAGATTAAGACGCCTCCTCCTGGCGTTGAGTAGAATACAGAAAAGCTGGTGATTATACGACTACTTTGGAAACAAGAACGAGGTGTCTTAATCTGCTTATCTGATTTACAGAGTCCCAACTCAGTTGGATCGATCTCCCTAAATCCGCCAAGGAATCTACATGCACGGAGGCCGATTGTGTCTTTGTGGGAATGGGGTCTTCATATAGCTTTAATTAACTACATCGTATTTACAAATTATCTTTTCAGAACTTGAAACACATCACTAACTGGACGTCTTTGGGTCCATAATCGATTAAAATGTTGCATCTTATGAGTCAAGACGTACCTTGTTGTTTATAGAACTCCCGACGAAAAGCACCAGCTCAGTACTGCACTTATAGTATCATCTTTTCATTAATTAAATTAAAATACTACAAACTACTATATACCGCATGCAACAGATTGCCCACGCACAGATACCTGTAGAAACGGATATCAAAGGCTTTAAAAAATACTTCTGTAGTAGGTATACCTATCTAAACATTACAGTATACACGCTGCACTAGTAGCCTACCCTGTTTTGGGTTATATTGTCCGTTTTCTGATATCCTTCTGGATAACAGATGGTATAATAATATCACGGTTTTCAGATACATTTGTCTTTATAAGCATCAACTACTGTATGGTAGTTTTTACATAAATTTTCCCACCGAATCTTTTATAAGCATGAATACTAGATGAAAAACACAATTTTAGTTCATATTTAAAACAAAGCTAGATTATGTCCAAAAAGCAAAACAAATTAAAAATCATATGTTATACCTAATCGGTATAATACCAAAAACTGATCGTTTGCAATTACAATATTAGATTCTTCAAGCTTTAAGTTATTGCCACTTCAACATTTCAAAGTCTAACAATTCTAAATGTTTAAAAATCACGTTTTAAGAGAATTAGGCTAAGCATGGGTGTTCTTGGTGTTGTATTGTGCATGTGTAGTAGCCTCAACCTGAGGAATGCTATAATCTCTCCTCCCCGCCCTTGTTAGACACTGATATTTTGCAGTGGTAATAACTCCAAGTTTTAAATCACTAATTCAAATAAACCAAGCTGTGGTAAGTACTATGTCAGATAATTGCTTTTATCGATGACAGTGCAGTATTTTGCATTTAACCTAAAATCGCAGAAATCAAGTCTCAAATATACGAGTTCATGTAACAGTAGGCCTACACGAGTTTTATTTCACATCTGACCTTGAGTTTTTTGACTACCTTTTGGATCTCCATAACCCTATGAAATGCACGCAGGTGTATTTATTTGTTACCACAAACTCCCAGTTTTCTCTCTTCGTCATAATGTCATGGCAAAAATACCTCCAACAAGAAACGGCAAGAACCCGACGACATGTTGAGAAGCACCGAGTCCTAAGGCCGCGGCGGCGTTCACGTCTGTGACAGAAGCTACATTGGTCTTCCCTGCAACGGACATATGTAATGATTAGGTGTGTTATTCATACAATAAAAACATGCTATTGCTCCTAAATAATACTGCTAAAAACGTTTAACTCAAGATAACAACAGGGTCAAATAGAGAAACAGCACCGAAACCCGATCAAAAATGGACCATGGATCAACAAGGATATTTATGGAAGACTGTCAGAAAATATCTCAGGATCGGTCACTGCCTACCTTGGTTCCGTCTAACTCTGGCCGTGGTCAGTTCCCGGGTGGCCATCTTTGGGTCCACCTCTGGGCAGTAAGACCCTGTCGTTTCTTTACATTCTTTGTATTTGGCCTTGTATTCTTTGCCACTGGCCAAGATCAGGGTATTGAGCGAGGTTTGGCTCAGTGACTGACAGGTGTTATACACCTTGTTAAGGCACTCGACTGTGAGTTCGTAGGCCCTGAAATTCAAAGTAAAAAGGAAAATCAATTTCTTAAAATTATTATAAAATGTGGTATTGAAAGAAAATGTTTTGGTTGAAATTTGAATACACCGGCAAGATTCGGGGAATAAATGGAATATCCCCAACCCCGGTGCACTTGCTGACTGTGGTGGGGCTAATTTTGCCAGAGAAGGGCCGACTTAAATATTATTGAAACAGACCTTTTATAAATAAGAAAATGTCGACCAGAGGTATGATATGTATAATATAACAGGATAACATCGCGGTCGTGACGAGAACTAACTTGGAGACGGGCCCGGTGTGAAACGCTCTAGGAGAGACCACTCAGATTGCATACTTTGTTTTAAGCCTTTTTTTTAGGAGAGTTTGCCAACATCCAGGGAGATTGGTTTTGATTGGCTTTGAATACCATGGTCTGAAACACAAGATTTATCGTTGATTAAAAAGAGTTTTTTATCCCATAATCTATAACCATGGACCAAAAAGGATTTTGTGTGGGATCGCTTGGCACCGCAATGATTTGTTTGCAGTCTTGAGGGTCTTGACCGTAAGCGTCCTTCATGAGAGAGAGAGAGAGAGAGAGAGAGAGAGAGATGACTCACCTGCAGCTGCAAGGGTGCTTTTCCTCCACTACGGTTCCGAGCACCAGGTGCGCTGTCGTGGTGATATTTAAGTGGAGACGGCGACACTGGACGACGTCGCAATCACTAGGGAGGCAGGAAGACACGTGAAACACTGAAGAGAGAAACATATAAATCACCTAATATATATATATATATATATATATATATATATATATATATATATATATATATATATATATATATATGATGTCCAGAATAATTACGGAAAAATAATTGTTTACTAAATAATTGTTTTGCCGAAGACCTTTTATTCATAAGAGAAAAGCTAATAACTCGCCTCTCTCTCTCTCTCGCTGCACTTTTGCTCTAATGAAGATAAATGGAATGACAATAGAATTAATTCAAGATGACGCCATGTTAATCTGAAATGAGCCGCAACTCAACAAATTTGTATTCGGCGAAGCTAAACCGACCAACTTGTCAGAAAAATCAATCGACGCAGTTTATCCATTCCTATCAACTCATTGGCGGTCGTGTTTGTTTAATATTTCCTCATCCATTTAAGGTTTGATAATTACTACAAGAACTTTAAGAATAAGAACGAAGAAAACTGAATTAAACGAAAATCCGTTGCAGTGCAATATGGTAATTCCTGTGTTACTCAATATATACATTCCACCAAATCATAATTAACGTAAGCCCCAGCGCTGAGTCGCTGCTATTGTTAGAGGGTTCTTTGGTTTAATTTATCCAGTTCTTCCCTAACCCTCCCCCCTTAACTTCCTATGTAAATGCACAGAAAGAAGAGAGCAGGTGCGTTATTATAAACTTATCGCCAGCTCGTATAATTACGCCACGACCCCCCCCCCCCCACCCCACCCCAACAGGACAGCACTCCAAGCACTTCACGACTGAAGTAATAAGGCTGATGTTTGCAATGCATGTCAAGAATCCTAACTTGAACAGTATTCTCTGTATTTACAAAAGGGTGGGCAGTTCCTCATTCCAGTAAGGCTTATTTCCACATCAATAAAATGACTTGGATAGCAATAATGAACATGGTGTGCTCGCACAAGCAAATTCCCAGACAGGCATTCTCATCTAAATCGTCCTGGCGCTAAATCTATCACAAAATATCTAAATCTAAAGCTGTGGGGATCAAAACCCTAGACGAATTACCGTAACTCATCCCTGGACTTGACAACCAATTTGAATTTGATACACAGACGAGCAATGGTTGTGGCGGCATCGGGTAGATGGGCATATAGGATAACCACAACATTAAATCACCAGGTTCATCCCAATACCTATAAATGTTCTGTGTCATTGCCCCACGGAATCTAAGCCTTAATTGTGTTGAATTACGATGCTATACATTTGTCGTCAGGAAGTGATTAAACGCCGCAGTAAACTATAGCTACGAGCAAACCTGACCAGTCACTATATAGCTACTGTTGAAGTCAAAGTGGTTGTTTTAGCAGTTCTATACGCAGGCCCCTACATCCCACATGACTACGATAACCAGATCTTTGTCATTAATATTCTATTTAACTTAAAAACTTTGAAATGTTAGATCCACTTATGTTAACACCTTGTGTGTGAATATACTTCTTCACTGACAAAAAACGGCAATGTTTTCATATTTTTAACATTGCATGTTAGAATTATCCTGAAACAAGCAAACAAACAAGCAAAAAAAATTAAGAGTTAAAACCAGATTTCGCAAAACTGTTTTAAGCAGTGGCGCTGCGCGATCGATTTTTGTGGGACGTTATTGGTGGATGGTCAATACATATATTATTATTATTATTATTATTATTATTATTAAATGTTTTGCTGGGCTACTGCAATTAAAATAGTAACAGCAGCCTTTTTTACTCGAGTCGCGGATTCACCTGCAGTAAACTCAGTTGGAATGATAATGTTTTCGCGTGGGATGTCTTTAAAACTATGTACTTCACAGTCTTTTTGCCCCCAAATTATACTACCGAGTTCATTGCCCGTTTGATTTAATTATTGCCCAGCTGAGTTAGAGCATATTGCCTACGGATATAAGTTTAAAAAGAAACAATGCTAACAGTGGGAAGCAATTTGAAATCCCAAAAGACAGAAAAATAAATATGGTGCTTATGAACTTTTTCTGTAATAATTGTATGTCAAAATGCCAGTTATACAAAAAAGCATTTCTTTTCTTCCGTTGAATATTAGCAATATTAGAAATTGGGGTCGACATTTAAATGTATTTTCAAAAACTACACTGGATAAAAAATGATCGTTTGAGATTTCATGATTTAATATTTTCACAGGCAACTTATGTAACATCGTAGGCTAACAGACTCCCCTTGAAAGGAATTGGCTTTTACGGAATAACTCATTTTGGGTTTTTATATGGTTTTGTATGTGGGGGTGGAGACGAGGGCGAGGGAAGGAGGCAAAGAGAGGATAAGTTATATTGATAATGATACATATCATATTATAACTTAAAACATTCATAATAATAAAGAATATAGACTATAATATGATACATATCATATTATAATTTATATTCATTATTCTTATAAATATTGTGTATATGGTATTGCGGTTCTGTACAAAATGGCAGCAGAAGGTCATCAAAGCCATTGCACTCGCTGTATCCCAAATGTGACTGCATTTTAAGTGTACAGTGCATGTTGGCGCTCATTGCAAAGACGTGTCACTGACGCGTGCTCTTGTTAGTATATTAATAACTATATTTGAACATCCTACATGGGTGGCAAGCGTCTCTAACTAACTTCCATTCAATTTGTTCACGGTGAAGCCAAATTGGGCAACAAAATAATAAAAGGCCCGTTTTCCTAACGCTATCTGGCATGTGGAAATTATTACTCTTTGCTCTTTTACAGTCCAACAAAGTGAATTATCAAATATTCCCTTTAAATTTTGCCACTGTCCTCGAATTCAGGTATTGATTGGTAAAAATGAGGTAGTTAATTCCAGTAACCAGAGAATCAGTTGTATGAGGTGATTGATGTCGGTGCCAAGGATGGGTTCTCATCTCATATATCATAGCAAATCCTTCGTCGTTGTCAGTGCAGTTACGCAACGTACATCTCACGAAATGCGCATTGACAGGTTTATTCCAATCGATGCGGACTTTAAAATGTTTAGATAGTGATGAAACTACCGCCTCCATCGTGGTATCATATCTGATTTTTATGCTAAATTTGCTTTGTATTCTATCTACGGAAATGTCGACACTTTAGCTACAGTGTGGAATTTTTTTCTTTGTATTAGACAATATGGTATTTCAATAGTAATCTGCTTAGTTATGCATTGGTTTTGATTGCATTGAGTACTTTCATTATTGATTCAGGTTTCTATCTCATTACGAGTGTCTCTCCGTCGCAAAACACTTTTATGTACAAAATTACTTACCATACAAAATTTATTAAAGTAGAGCACATAGAGGACCCTGCTTTTTCGTCTAATTGATTTTTGAATCCGGTCGATTATTTATATCTCTTATCAGTAATGTTTGGTTTGGTACAGATAGAAATCAGAATCGAAATGAAGGCAAATGGAATCGAGTGCGTAGGTGCGTAGTTCCAGAATCCTCCGTCTGAGTATTTCTGTTGTCACTTAAGTGCTTCAGTCATACTCCCTGCTTTTACTTATGAAATTTAATGTATGAATAATAGAAATAAATGCAGTTGATGAAAACATTTTCTTCCATTCCTTCCCTAGTCCTGGGAAGGGGGAATGTTTTTGTGCACACTATAAGTGAATGTTGTGGTTTTCATAAAGGGTTTTATTATTTTCATGAAGCATTAAACTCACAGAAATGAACAGTGAATTTGTATATTAATCAGTATGGAAGACTTGATCATCATAGAGTTTCCTCTCCCCCGGGTACCGTGCCTCCAACAAAACACACACACGCACACACACACACACACACACACACACACACACAAGCACGTACATGTATACATACACTCTCTTATTGAGACATAGAAGGGACTGCTGGCAAATTTTAATTCTATGAACAGGCCACGCCTGGAGAAGATATGCAAACCATCCACAATTCCTCTTGCTGCATCTAAAGGACAAAACAATTACAAGAAAAGCGCCTGATCCTTTCGGTGTCCTTTCATGTGGTAGGTACGCCATAATGCCCTATTACTGAACTTTCGACTATGCTCAGTGAACAGAGAGCAAATAAATGTGTTTGAGTTAAGATACCACGCGACTCTGTTATTGAAATTGATAGTCGGTGTGTAATCAAGCGTTCACCCAGTGATCAATAAACCTGCATTTGACATAAATGGAATGCGAGTTGAGCGCAGGAATGTGGAGTTATTCTGGTCCTTCATTCTAATATCTGTGAACTGCAAATGTGTCGAACTAATAAAAAAGTGTTCTGATTATTCCAAATATTCTTTGAGTTGCCATCCGTCTGATTTTATTTGCATTACATGTTGTGCAGTTGTCAAGAATGTATACGTAATATGTACATGTTGATGCTTCCATACGAGCTGCTGTTTTCATTACTGTCAAGAGCATTGGCAACCGACTAAGAAACACTTATCTCCATATCAATCATAAAGAGAAAAAGACGATATATGAACTAAGTGGCATCATTACTTTAGGCGGATGTAGACAGAGACAAGATCTGCATTTAGATGTACAGAGTTGGTTACAACATATAATAATAAACGGAACAAAAGCGCCCTTCACAAAATGTAAGTGAACGGCCTTGAATAGCTGACTTCTCTTCAGGAGAAAATCACAGTTTTTACAGATTTGAAGTTTCCCCTGTGATACAGAGTCCGGTTCCCTTTGATTTGTACAGGTAGGTCATCTCCCACCTACGTCACGCTAACCCTAACCTGTTTGAATCCAATGGAAGACGGACTCTCCGTCACACTGCATTTTACACCGGTCAGCCGTGTTGAATGTGTTTGGTGACTGTTTGCGAGTTGTCGCAGTTCACTTCTCGGTTATTTGAAGGAAACACCCCGCACACCGCAGCTGAGAAACTCTACTGAGAAAACGTGCAGCGAGTTGAACCAGTTTGCTCTCATATGGTGTCCATGTGAGAAATTGCCACCGGGTGTTGATTTTATTTTTACAATTTTTTTATTTGTCAAACTTTCGGCTTTCAGTTCACGCTTCTTGAGAAAATGGTTACGTGTTTACTGTAAAAATTGTGAAAAATTACTCCACGGATTCTATTGCCATTCTACCGTGCTCTGCTTGTAGATGTACCTTTGTAGAGGAGCAATTCGACAAAAGGAGTTGGGCTAAAACCATTGATGTTGAGAATTTTGATTTTGCCTTAAAGTAAAAGCAGTGCTGTTTTCGCGTGCTTTCCCAACTTCAAATAGAATATAACACGCACGACCAAATTGTTTCTACTGGCAAGTGGCTCAGGCATTCAATATCCTTTTCCGTAATTAGATTCGATTATACGCTTCTGCTCTTGCAAGTACGCAAGCTAATTGGTAAATTCATCAGAATAAATCTAACGCGTTAAGGATTAGAATGCCAAGTCCTATTACCGAGATTACTCCAGGATACGATAATCAGCTTCAGCTTATTCATTATGTCATCGCTTTGTTTGGCACAGTTCCATCCATTCAGAAACAGCTAGCCTTTCAAATGAAAATTATTGGTTAGTATAATTTTGGTTTATGAGGATGTGGTTTACTAGCAGGCTTACCCACACCAGAAGCATGTTAGGGTGTACTTGGTGCAAAACCTCAATGGTCAAAATGTGTATGTATGAAATGATTCTATCAACGTTTTCCCTAGCGCTGGCAGGAATATCAAAGTGGAAGTTGGATGAGAAAGGAAACCAAACGCACTAAATGGACATAATTGTTTAGGGATATGATGAGAAAGAAGGATGCAAGCTCAAAATAGACCACGCCATATGGCGTTACAACAAGCTAACTGCACTATGTAAATGAAATTACGTCGGCGTCATTCCGCAAAAAATGACTCTTTGAGACACGCAAGTAACACAAACATTTTGTGCAATGTTTGCATAATTCTGATTTCCCCCATTATTTTAGCAATCNGCGTTCTTGTGGTATTTCAAGTAAAATAGAAAAAATGATTGTTGCTTATTTATGAAGCTAAATGTAAGCACTATGTAGAAAATCCCAAGTTATGGGTTTGAATGTAAAATTGATAAAATACTTTTGGGATGCAACAGACAATAGGCGCATAAATGTTTACATACATCTGCTCTGCCTTTTGCCTTTTTTGTATAATTTGCCGTGGCATTTCAATTGCACACGAAATGCTCTGTAACTAAGATAAAGGTACCGTTATATCACACCGGTGATTTTCAGTACACATCTGGGCTTTCGTTTTACTGTGAAAGTAATGGGCATCTGTAATTTGTTGATTACAGCGTCAATCGTACTCAATTTTCCTGGAAATATACTACTGTTTATCCTGTCTCATATTCGTGCCGCTAATATTTCCCTACGTTGAATGAACAATGTGTAATATTTAGGTGCGAAAAGTACAATCAAAGATGATCATAGTCCCGCCGGCAATTTTTCTTTAATTTATCGACTGTCAATCTAAGATCCAAACTAAAAACTACGTTTAACTTCACCCGGCTGGGTCCTAGTGAAAGATAACATGTATGCCTGGACACAAAGGCGCCATTACTGGTATAATGCAAATTGCATGCCTTTGGACATTGACAGAGGCTATTCAAAAAATAAAAATAGACTAAAGACGACAAAAAATCCTATTGTTGCCCCTTTGGATATTTACAAAGTATTTTGAGCATAATAATAATAATAATAATAATAATAATAATAATAATAATAATAATAACCAATGAAATAGAAAAACGGCACAAAGCATGCCAAATGTTCCGCAATGGCGGTGCTGGGAAACTGGAGGCATAAAGTAATTACAAGTTTAACTGATGGAACTATTCTTTAATACTGCCAGGACAAGACGCCAGCAGGTATTCCAGCAGAACTTTCCAACAGCTGTGTCTTTGTTGAACTGTTGGTCAATCTCAATCCTTTGCCAATTTCTATATTACTTTATAGTTCGTTAACCAGTCGGTCATTATTAGGTGAACTGTCATTCACTCCCGGGCAATTGACAACACAACGTATTTTTCAATTAATCTCTCTCGCTCCCTGCAATTCTTGGTTACTATCCAATCTCCCAATATAAAATAATTATCGCAAGACACGATCTTGTCCAGTTGTCAGTAGAAGAAACTCATTTTTCAAACAATTCTCAGCCCCTCGAGTCAACGTACATTGTACGCGGAGGACTACTGTTTACAAATCTACGAAGGAATGCCCCGTGTGATATCTTATTTATAGAGTGCCGGCAGGCAAAATTAACCTTCCAATATCGGAAACAAACGGCACAAATACCGTTGTCAATACTGTGCATTGTCTACAAGGTCTCTCGTCTCTACTCGTTAAAACAATGACATTTATCCGTAAACCTAATTAAACACAGAAGCCCAATATGCTTGTACAAACTTACCTGTGACTATCAGAAATCCCAGTAATCGCGTAATGCGCCGTGAAAAGTCGCTCATTGTCACAGTCAAACGGCGGAGCAGTTTAGTCGTTCAGCACGATTGAACACGGTCAGTGCTCTTTGCAGGCAATCTGCGTCGGTTAAAAAAAAAAGCCACGCGGGTCTCCCAGATCCGTGAGTGTAATGCCGACTTTGACTTGGAGCGCTTTCGATTCGTGCTTGCTTGTTCGTGTATGCAGTGCGTTATCACAGCGGCTCAGCGGCGCAGCTTCTCGCTACTTGAAACCGAAGTTTGTACAAGAAATGAGGTAATTTGTCCGAGTCGCCGGGGAAATAATAGACTTTCGTCGGTTGCTAACTCCATTGTACTGAGTAATCAGGGCACGCCGAATCAATGATATTTCCAGATAGTCGAATATGTTATCTAATTAACACCGTTCTTCCACATATGCTTTTGTTCCCCTGTTGGTGCAGTCCGATTTCGGGCAATTATATAGCAGAAAATATTTCCAATTGCTTAAATGGAGAGCACAGTGTATTTCAAAGCTCGCTGGTCTCATGGAAAGTTCACACCTTGACAACAAACAGATGATGAATGCGGAGAACACTTTGTAGAACTATGTGGTATACGACCACCGGAAAACGGCATCAATAGTTTCAAAGCAAAGTGGCTTCAGTGAATCACCTGATATGTTGAATCAGCCAGACATTGTCCTGGATCATCAAAACAAAAGCAACAGCGTCAATAACACCCATTGGTTCAATTCAAGTCATATTAGAATGTCATTTACACACGCCTGGAAGTAAGACAACAATAAACACGGAGATTTTAACTAATGTCTTGTATTCATTGGGCAGTAAGGGCGTTGAGAAATATTGGGATATACAAAATGTGTGATATTAGGGGTGAATTGAGGTAATGCTTTATTATTGAAGCGCATGTACATGTGTATTGGGAGGTGAAAACAAAAGCATCCAAAGACTAATTTTCTTAATTGAAATTCTAAATGTTTTATTGGTAGTTGCATGCCAGGTCAAATGTGAAAGAGGACACAAACTGGTCTCATTATCTGCGATTTACTAAAATCTTGTTCTTGCTGTTTTCGTGAAACATTTCGTGAAACATTTCATCCCTCACTATGGCATCATGTTGTCAGAATGGCTGCAATATAATATAACATCCTTTCGAAAATAATTATTTAGGGAAATCTGAACAACAACAATTATCGACTTATTACGAGAGATGTGTATTGACAACCTCTCTAGTTTCTGTTATTTCATTTCATATTTCTTTCTCTGAATGTGCAACTCGTACGGTCACCATTGTCAACCAATTCATGATTCTATATTCAAACAGAACTGATTGCACCATCCAACGTTTTATGGTTTTGATGTTGGTCTCTTTACTTCTTCAAAACACAAAATCCGTTTTAACCAGGTGAGGTAAACAAAAATATATCATCTGTAATAGTGTTTGTACCATTATTTATCTATATTATTCATATGGAACATATACTATGGTTTGTGATACTCTGTTTCTGTCTTCAGAGGAATTCAGAACATCCTTCTTCTCTTGACTCAAACTTAATGATCTGTTACATGCGTACCTTGCACAGGGAGAACCTGGACAACAAAATAGTATTTACCCTTTAAAATGGCTACTTTTGTCTGATTGTGATGTATTAGCGCTGTCGTTTTAGACATGTCACTGTTTATGAGCGATGCCTCAACGCTTGTTGGCAACAAACGAATGACGAACGGGTAGGAACCGGGCAAACTGGTGCCAAACTGGCGTAAGAAAAAGCCAAAATCGTATGTAATGCGGATAGGAAATTGCCAATACTGATAGAAAAATACGTACACTAGAAAATTTAAAAAAAAAAATGCCCTGCAGTCATATTTTGATACTGACAAGCAGCAGACAACTGCGCCCGTGACGTCACAGATGCACGTCCTCCCCGAAACGATCTAATTCTTAGATAGCATGACAAACATATTGTGTGCGTCAAAAATCTTTAACTAATAAACTCATCACACAGTCACAAGAATGCCACTCATCATATCCCCAATACAACTGTCTGTCAGATAAATGAATTATTTCAAATTTTCAAAGACATGACACTACCACCAGTACGTGGCCTTACGGAAGTCCGACCATTGTACTTTCAATAACATTCTTAATCGAAACGAGAAGTCAGGGGTTGCCAAAGAAGAGGCTTTTCTCATTCCGTTTCTGTACAGAAGATATGTTATTTGATCAGTTCTAATATCAACACAGTTCCAGGTCCACAGGGGAGATTATTGATGGCTTGTGAATTCGAAATATCACAAATGATCGATGACCGCTATTAAACATGCATCTCTGTATGCTCCTATGCATTTTGAATTTGAATACTGATAAACTAGTAAACCCCTTTACTTCGATTTATTCCAACTGCCCTGTGTTCGCGTTTGTCATATCACTCACATGTAGTGTTGTTTATTAGTTTACATATCAAGAAAAGGAAAAAAGAAAATTATATTTTAGCAGTGATGTATATCAAACCTTTGTCAAGGCACGTAAGCAGGAGCACTTATGCACAGTACAAAGCGCACTTTACACCAAAAATTACACAAGTATGTGAGACGCCTCCTATCAGTTCGTCTCAGACATGAGCAGACAACCATAGATCTTAACCAAGGCACCGATTTTTCATTGTCAAAGCGGATTTGAGTTTAAGCTTTTGTTATTAAAGTGCAAGCGCTGGGGTGCGTGTTTCAATTATAACGTTGTGCAAAAAAAAAAAAAAANGAGTTCTTGTGGTATTTCAAGTAAAATAGAAAAAATGATTGTTGCTTATTTATGAAGCTAAATGTAAGCACTATGTAGAAAATCCCAAGTTATGGGTTTGAATGTAAAATTGATAAAATACTTTTGGGATGCAACAGACAATAGGCGCATAAATGTTTACATACATCTGCTCTGCCTTTTGCTTTTTTCGTATAATTTGCCGTGGCATTTCAATTGCACACGAAATGCTCTGTAACTAAGATAAACGTACCGTTATTTCATACCGGTGATTTTCGGCACACATCTGGGCTTTCGTTTTACTGTGAAAGTAATGGGCATGTGTAATTTGTTGATTACAGCAGCAATCGTACTCAATTTTCCTGGAAATATACTACTGCTTATCCTGTCTCATATTCGTGCTGCTGATATTTCTCAACGTTGAATGAACATTGTGTAATATTTAGGTGCGAAAAGTACAATCAAAGATGATCATAGTCCCGCCGGCAATTTTTCTTTAATTTATCGACTGTCAATCTAAGATCCAAACTAAAAACTACGTTTAACTTCACCCGGCTGAGTCCTAGTGAAAGATAACATGTATGCCTGGACACAAAGGCGCCATTACTGGTATAATGCAAATTGCATGCCTTTGGACATTGACAGAGGCTATTCAAAAAATAAAAAATAGACTAAAGACGACAATAACCCTATTGTTGCCCCTTGGATATCTACAAAGTATTTTGAGCATATGCATAATAATAATAATAATAATAATAATAATAATAATAATAATAACCAAGGAAGTAGAAAAACGGCACATGTCAAATGTTCCGCAATGGCGGTGATGTGAAACTGGAGGCATAAAGTAATTACAAGTTTAACTGATGGAACTATTCTTTAATACTGCCAGGACAAGACGCCAGCAGGTATTACAGCAGAACTTTCCAACAGCTGTGTCTTTGTTGAACTGTTGGTCAATCTCAATCCTTTGCCAATTTCTATATTTCTTTATAGTTCGTTAACCAGTCGGTCATTATTAGGTGAACTGTCATTCACTCCCGGGCAATTGACAACACAACGTATTTTTCAATTAATCTCTCTCGCTCCCTGCAATTCTTGGTTACTATCCAATCTCCCAATATAAAATAAATATCGCAAGACACGATCTTGTCCAGTTGTCAGTAGAAGAAACTCATTTTTCAAACAATTCTCAGCCCCTCGAGTCAACGTACATTGTTTGCGGAGGACTACTGTTTACAAATCTACGAAGGAATGCCCCGTGTGATATCTTATTTATAGAGTGCCGGCAGGCAAAATTAACCTTCCAATATCGGAAACAAACGGCACAAATACCGTTGTCAATACTGTGCATTGTCTACAAGGTCTCTCGTCTCTACTCGTTAAAACAATGACATTTATCCGTAAACCTAATTTAACACAGAGGCCCAATATGCTTGTACAAACTTACCTGTGACTATCAGAAATCCCAGTAATCGCGTAATGCGCCGTGAAAAGTCGCTCATTGTCACAGTCAAACGGCGGAGCAGTTAAGTCGTTCAGCACGAATGAACACGGTCAGTGCTCTTTGCAGGCAATCTGCGTCGGTTAAAAAAAAAATGCCACGCGGGTCTCCCAGATCCGTGAGTGTAATGCCGACTTTGACTTGGAGCGCTTTCGATTCGTGCTCGCTGGTTCGTGTATGCAGTGCGTTATCACAGCGGCTCAGCGGCGCAGCTTCTCGCTACTTGAAACCGAAGTTTGTACAAGAAAATAGGTAATTTGTCCGAGTCGCCGGGGAAATAATAGACTTTCGTCGGTTGCTAACTCCATTGTACTGAGTAATCAGGGCACGCCGAATCAATGATATTTCCAGATAGTCGAATATGTTATCTAATTAACACCGTTCTTCCACATATGCTTTTGTTCCCCAGTTGGTGCAGTCTGATTTCGGGCAATTATATTGCAGAAAATATTTCCAATTGCTTAAATGGAGAGCACAGTGTATTTCAAAGCTCGCTGGTCTCATGGAAAGTTCACACCTTGACAACAAACAGATGATGAATGCTGAGAACACTTTGTAGAACTATATGGTATACGACCACCGGAAAACGGCATCAATAGTTTCAAAGCAAAGTGGCTTCATTGAATCACCTGATATGTTGAATCAGCCACACATTGTCCTGGATCATCAAAACAAAAGCAACAGCGTCAATAACACCCATTGGTTCAATTCAAGTCATATTAGAATGTCATTTACACACTCCTGGAAGTAAGACAACAATAAACACGGAGATTTTAACTAATGTCTTGTATTCATTGGGCAGTACGGGCGTTGAGAAATATTGGGATATACAAAATGTGTGATATTAGGGGTGAATTGAGGTAATGCTTTATTATTGAAGCGCATGTACATGTGTATTGGGAGGTGAAAACAAAAGCATCCAAAGACTAATTTTCTTAATTGAAATTCTAAATGTTTTATTGGCAGCTGCATGGCAGGTCAAATGTGAAAGAGGACACAAACTGGTCCCATTATCTGCGGTTTACTAAAGTCTTGCTCGTGCTGTTTTCGTGAAACATTTCTGAAACATTTCATCCCTCATTATGGCATCCTGCTGTCAGGATGGATGTAATATAATATAATATCCTTTCGAAAATAATTATTTAGGGAAATCTGAACAACAATGATCGACTTATTACGAGAGATGTGTATTGACAACCTCTCTACATGTAGTTTCTGTTTTTTCATTTGATATTTCTTTCTCTGACTGTGCAACGCATACGATCAGATAT